TTCCCCCCCCCCCCCCCATGTGCAATTACATAGAAAAAGAGATTTTTGACACTGAAATTTTCTTTTCACAAATAATGGGGGCCAAATTTGTGGGAAACCCAAAACCATCATATCTAGTGTGCTTTTCCCATGATTTCCATGCCATTACCTTGCTTTGGGTTCAAAAAATGCAAATGTTACTAGGGACTGCTCAATCTTGTGGATGTAGGTAACTCAAGGGTTTGGATACCACATGGTTTAAAGCAGTGGGAGCTGGCCTTCCTAGCCTTCATGCCACAAATTAGGCCTCCAGTCCTCTTCCCCTGCCTGTTACACTGCTCTGCTTTTTTCTCCTTGCTCTGTGCTACCTGCCTGTTCTGCTTTCTGCCCCTTGCCCTTTTTCCACTGTGCTGCTTGTCCCATCCCTGTTCTGCCATGTGCCACACAGGCTGCCCATGCCACTTATGGCACTCATGTTGTAAGTTTGGCCACCCCTGTTTTTTATCAGATGGTGCAGCTATGCCCCGGTGAAAATACTAGTCTGATCTTACACTGGTCTTCTCCAGCACCTAACATAGGACTTGGCAGAAGGCAACAGTGTCGTTGGTTTGCTGGTTCCTCTATTTGAAGCTAAGAGAGTCCAAAAGAAATCAACAGAAAACTATTGCATGATTTTATACAAACTACTGAGGGAGAAGAGTAAAACTGTATTACTGTGGTCTGAAACTAAATTCCCTGGGTTCACTTCTGACTTTTTTTTTTTTTAAACCTTATTCAGGCTCAAACAAAAATTGGCAGTGTGTCCAGAATGATGTTAAAAAGCCTTAAATCAGTATGGTTCAGTACCTTCTTTGTAATGGATACTGGACAGAATAATGGTGCTTTTAGAGGCTGAAAAGGCAATCAAGGGAAATAATTAAAAAATTTAAGTGATGCACTGAGCCATTCATAAAAATGTAAATGTCTTTTTTACACTTACTTAATTTTACATTCTATAGCTTATTATTAAAAATCATAAGAATTTTTAATTAAAATTTTGCTCACTAGAATAAAACAGTATGTGGGACTCCTGGCTCAAGGGCAGCCTTATGAGCAAAAGAAAGAGAATAATTTCATTAGACGTAATGAGAGGCTTGCTCAGAAATCACAAGCAATAATATAGGAAACTTCAGCAGGAACTAGAGTAAGGCAATGGCAGCAGCAAAGTTATCTGTTATTTTTAGGAGCCGTGGGTTAAAGAATAAACAGCTGGTTGAAGAGCTGGAAAAAAAAAAGTCCAAATCTACTTAAGATCACATAAGTAAACTATTACAGCCAGGAATGGGGTTCAGGAATCCTGGACTAGTTTTGCATCCAAACCTATCCGTTTTATCAGTTGTCTAAATTTTCACAACAAAAAAATTCTGCTCGACTTCCAAATCAGATAGCTATGTATCTGACTACCAAGTTTTCGTACGTATGGTCTCATGGCAGCTCTAGAAGATTTTTGGAAGCGAATTTTGAGTTTCCATCTCTGGTTTCCTTACAATCCTTAGGAGAATCCTTTTGAAGTAACTGGCTTTCTATCAGGTGCTTCGTTGCATGTTAAGAGAACCTTTGTGATATGTTAATTCTTTGTCTCATGGGAAATGTGGGGTCTAGACTCATGGGATACGAGCCAGGGCTTTTCTACACATCACTTCCTCTGTGATAACAGCCCATGTGTACACTCCTCCCCAAGGAGGCAAACCTGCAATAGCTTAGCCTGCAGTGAATGAGGGACAAGTCACTATTGTTTAGCTTCTACCTACTGTGAGGAAAGACGTATGCACACAGGTCATTACCGTGAAGAAGCTGACAGTTGGTAAAACCCCATTGCCTTTTACACTGGACTGAATGATTCATATGTCCTTATTCTCACATTGGTCACTCAGAAAGGTGTTTGCATGTATGGATGCATTGTTGGTGTCTGCGTGCATGTACTAGTTTGTTCTAACCTTGAAGTCATTTGTTTCTTTTCAGTGGTGGCAGGTTGAGAAAGTGAACCCTATCAAGCTCTATGAAGAGAACAAAGTCATTGCTGGATTTTCCCTGTTGAATCTACTTTTCAAGCAGAACCGAGGTGGCCTAATTAAAGGTATAATGGACAAACTCATAACACTGTACAATGAGAAGAAGATCAAGCCAGTGGTTGATTCATTATGGGCCCTGGAAGAGGTAAGATCATTGATTTCCTCCCCCCACCCTCATTTGAATATAGTGAAGTGTAAAATTAGAGCTTGACCAATTCATTTTGCTTCTATTTCTGTGCCTGAGTTGGCAAGGACTCTAACATTTTGAAACTACTCAATTATCCAGTTATGCACAAATTTCTATAGTGCATATTTTCTTGATTTATAGGTGATCAACTACTACTTTGCTGTGAATACTCATAAAGAATGTAGTATTGGATAAGCACAAGTTGGTAGTTCTACTTCTTGAGTAACAGTGCAGCATGAATTGTAGCCCTTTTTTGTAGTTCAATTCAATCTCCTTGAGTGAGCAATCAAACATCGGACCTTAAATTTTCTTTTATATGCATTTGTGCCAAGCGTGCCTGTTTTCAGGAAGTTATCGCAAAAGCATCACTGATATATTAAAATCAGCTATTCTCTTTCAATTTGAAAATTCACAGACAGTTGTTCTCTTTTGATTCTCTTTTGATTGTTTGACCCTAAGAAATAGGAGCAATATAATCTGATGGTGGAATAAACAGTTACAGGTTTTTTGCTAAAACAGCCTTCCACAAACTCCCTCTGTCCCCTATAATGCAAATAAAAATACTGTTGTATTCTTAGAGGTCTGAAGAGACATTTTGTTGTTCTTTCTTTTTTTTTCTGTAGGAGTAGCACCTAAAAGGTTTGTCTGCAAAATTTCTCAAGTTTGAAATGCAGCCAAGCAATGATCTCTTTTGATGTGAATTGTAGTAGTATGGTTGCTGTCCAGAAGGTGCTGCCAAAAATGTTGCCTGTCATTGTTCACACTAGCTTGTATTACTGTGTACCCTTGAGAGCACAAGTGACCATCAGACTGTAACATGCAACATCAGCTAGCGTCCTGTGTACTTCACGGCCAGGGTTCTGGCCAGGGCATACATAGCACAGACTGCTCTAGTGGCATTAGAAGACAACCTCCTTGTAGCCAGGGGCACCAGTAAGAAATCCTACCTCTTTGAAGCCTCTGTCATGGTAAACTGACTACCAACCTGACTACCTGACAATGGCAGGTATTGATGGCCCAGCATGGTTCTTACTATCCCCTTCCTCCCAGACCTAGCAGTCTGAGTGACAATAGGTAATGACTTCTTGTGTGGGGCAGGGATATCCCATAGAGATGCCATTCTATCCCCACTTCTGTGCAAAATCTATAGGAGGCCACTGAGAAAATCATGAAGTACCAGGTGTGTAGCCACCAGCAAGCAGGCAGTGGTACCCAACTATATAATAGCCACCACTGAAATTTCAGGAAGCTTACAGAAAATTATCTCATGGATGAAGAGCAGCCGGGCCTAGTTAAATGTAGGCAAGGCCAAAGTGAGGCTAGACTGGACGGAGAAAAGTTTTTTAGAGAGCATGGCCAGGATTGGATTTGTATTTCCATAGTAGTTTAAAATCTCTTAAGTAATATAAAGTTTTTGTAGAGCGTGTAAATGTATTTTACATCATTGTGCTTCAGGAAGGAGGCTGTTAACAGCAATGACTATGAGCCTGAGTAATACTGGACAAATCAGGGTTGGAGGGGGGAATTTGTATACATGTCAGGCTAATCATTTCATCAGTGTGATGGGAATTTACTGGAAGACTTTTTAAGCAATATCTTTCATTTGTTTGGTAACATTTCATGTAACGTTTGGCAGTAACGTGTACTATCTCGTAACATTAGTTCATGAAACACGTAAATACATCTGTTCAAGACGGCAGCCTAGCATAATACAACTCATTTATCAAGCCTACTCACTTTTCGTGATCTAGCTGGCATTTTACAAAGCAAATTGCTGGGTGGCATCTGGAGGAATACAACTGTCTTGGAGTTTGAGGAAGTTTTCTAGTGGTGTTTAATTGATTTCAAATAGTTCTTGTTCATTCCAGGCAGTTTGGTCTTGAGAATATATGCTTATATGAAAATGTGGCTGGGTCAGTCTTCTGAAGCAAAACCAGTATGGTAGATCTAGAGATACCTCAGAGCTGGGACCCTAAATCCAAACAACCAGAACAATGGCAAATTTGTCTCTGAACTTGCTAGCTCCCCAAGCACATCACTTTGCTACTAATTTCCTACTAGCATTGGGGACCTTAATGCAAAGCCTCAGAGGCTACATCGAATTCAGTCACCATTTTAATAACTAAGCCCAAGGCATTCACTTACATTTTATGGACACAAAATTGTTTCATTGTTGTTTTTATTAAGGTAAGGGAGAATTCCTATTTCTACCCCCTCCTGCTAATACAGTACATGCAAGGGGAGAGCTGAAATGTAGGCAGATCTGTCTGGTAAGTCATGCATGGAATCAGCACTTCAGTCTGGCAGACAGCTGGGGAAGCCCTACTCCAAAAGTCAGCTGAGCAGGATTACTGCAAGTGAAATGTATGGCACCACAGGAGCCTTGAGGTTAGGTACATAAGCAGAACAAGAGAAATAGCCTTAAGGTTGAGGCCTGCCTGTCCGTTCATGTGGGCAACAAATCAAAGATTCCTGCACTGGGGAGAGGTCCAGGAGGGACAGAGAGTGGATCAGGGTAGCCAGGACATGCATATGGTCTGAGTGTCCTGCTGATACTTGGATGTTCAACAAGCTGCCACTGGGTGCTGACAGGCATGCAGCTCCCCACTGTAACCCATGGTGCTTCACAGAAAGTGCCATGAGTTACAACGCCCCCCACCCACACACACAATCCCTTGGGTTGCGAGGGTGGGGATTGAGCTTCATGTTGGAGCCAGCTATGTCTGCAGCTTTTCTCCCCTAGACCACCCCCCCCCCAGCTCCAGTGCTGTCTTCAGGATGGGAGGGGGGGAGAAGGGGGGCAAGGGAGCTCAAGCTGGGGATTGCACAGACTGCACTGGAGGGTGGGGCAAATGGATTGGAGCCCCCCCCACCTCAGGGAGGACGGGGGTGGGTTTTGATCCACCCACCCCACCCTCCTGTG